CTACTCCAGCTAGTTTAGTATATGTATGAGCCACATTCACGTGGTGAAATTGACCATGAAATGGCCCCCACATCGTGTAATAGCTTGTAACTTCAAAATATGATTGTTTATAAACAATTCTATAGGTTTATTAATTATAATTAAGCTATTTCATTATTTGTGTTTATAGATGTGTGCCGGAATTTATATTTCATCGCTATTGGGGGAACACGTTAAACACACACACGTATGATATATATATGTAAGTCATATGAACACACACATATACATCATATACATAGAAATAATTAGTATTACACTCACCAAAATGACCGAGTCCTTATTGGGGAGGGAACCGCTCTCCTGTTTATCCCCAATGCGCACACCCCTTTGTAACGATTTTTTTTTGTTCGGTTTCTTTTTTTTTCTTTTTTTTTATAGATTTTTCGATGGCAAATAATGCACGTAATGATGATGAAAGCACTTGTTTCCCCAAATACAATTTTTACAAGTGAAACTCGTCAGTTTTCCCGTAACTAACAATAGGCCTAACTTAACGAATAAATAACGCCTCGATAAAGATTCCAATTACTTGCTAATTACGTAAAGTAGAACTTCTTGTATCTCTTCGACTTCGTTGGAAACACATTTAAAATTGTCATTACTTGGTTCACTTGATAACTAACCTATCTTATCTAGTCTCGCTTAATTCGCGTATAATTCCCTAAACTTTCAAGAAAATGTCAGGAGTTGAGCCACGCGCTCATCACTTGACGTTAAAAAATCCTACTAGCCAAAAACAATACAAACTCTAAGTAAACAAAAAACATAGACTACAATACTGCCCCTACTTCGATTGCGAAGTTTCTTGGACAATTCTATGATACAAAAAATACGATTTAGGCTTTCATAATGAACACTATAGTAACCCTATAATTAATTACGCTAGTATTCATCAGTATAGACATTAAATTATTAACTATGTGAAACAGGATGCAATTAAAATTGCGATTAACAAAATAAATTATTCTTTCTTTGCTCATTTACTGTCCCTAAAGTGTGGTGAGTTTTTTTTTTTTTTCATAGCTAATGGTTCGAAGATGGAATGACCTTTGTGAATTTCACGTGAAGCATCTGGATAAGATAATTGGTCAACTTTACCATACCTACACGACATTTGAGTAAGGTCTGGAATTCCCTCTTACTCTGTTCCTAAACGTTGTTTAAGAAACTTCCTTCTGATGTGACACACCACATCTGTTTGATTAGGTGGCCATCGGTGTCTCACAGTTGTTGGTAGGTTACTCACTGTTGTAAAGTCTGATTCTTTGAAATGTACGCAGATTTGGCTCTTATTCACTACATCATTCATTCACTTCGGAAATTATTTCAAATTGTGCCTGATATGTCTCCCGTGGTATCTTTCCGTCATAATCCGTTGGTTTCTTGACTGTCCGATTTGTTGAACTGTACTGCTAAATTCCACAATTGGTTAAGGTAGTATAGTAGTGTATCGGGGGGGGGGGTAGTCCAGGTGTGTCCTCTAGCCAGAGGTAACATAAAAGTAGTGGTATAAGGTGTAGACTACGTGTGTTCTACTAGTCCGTATCGCATAGCTAATGGGTTTTGAGGTAGGAATTATTGAGTGGGTATGGAGAGGCGTAACGTGGCTGGTTTAATACTTCCATTTACCAGTTCAGCTTCTAGATATTTTATCCTGATGGTAATGTCCTTCTGAATGTTTCGTATGGCTTCATCGATCTTGTTATTGTACTTCTTCGATTTTGTTGTTATAATCCCTCTGTATCTTTTCTGTGGCTTCCTTGATCTTTTCTTGGAACTAAATATTTTGGTTTCGAATTCTTCTGTAAATCCCCTGTCTTATTCTTGTCATTTCTCTCTTAAATTCCTGTCTCTTTCTTGTCTTCTTTTAATTTTCATACCTTTCTTTCTGATATTTTTTTTAAACTTCTGTAACTTTATTCCTGGTCTTCTTTTCGCTTTCCGTTTCTTTTTTTTCCAAATTTTCTCTGTTTTCTTAATAGTCTCTCCTCTCTTTCGTCATTTCCAGGTAATATTTGACCTAACTTTGAGCATGAGTCGTTACCTTAAAGTTCATTCTAGATTTTATTTCATATTTTTTTACCAAACTAATTTTACTCCTGGCTCTTATTTAGCAGGTTCTTTTGGATTATTTGGGAAAAAATAATAGAAAATCCAGTCCATTTAACTGTAGGAAAAGCGTTTAATTTATTTCACCAAAGTTTTGTAAGCAAAACTTATACAAATTCCACTTACCTAACGATAGGCCTACCTCCACAAATAAATAACGCCTCAACAGTTTACACTTGCTAATTTCCTTGCACGCGAGGTACTTGTTGTATCTCTAGTACTTTGTTTAAAACACAGCATTGGACAAACTAACTGATTGGCTCAATAAACAATATAATCTAGTCTCGCCTAACTTGCATTTTATATCGTTCCAGTCGTTTTATAGATTTTCATGAGAGTTTTAGTTATCCCCCTGGTGGGTCAACGGCAAGGGCATGTTAACAAGAAGTTCTTTTCATACGTATTGAGTAATAGCATGGACTGTCTAGTATGTCTGCGGAATGGCTTACGCATATTTTTCAGCTATAATCTATTAACGTAGTTATTTTTGTGTTGTTACCTTTGTTCAGAATAGGGCCTGTTCCAATCGTATATATGCATTTTAAGAAATAACTCACTCTATTAGACGGATTTCCCCAAGATTAAACTAAAATCTTTAGCTACTACACGAATTCAACATTATTTTATGAAATGGACGATTTCACGTGCGTGATTTGGATGCAAAGTGTATATATATGTTTCATACAAGATAACTTACTCCA